TATTTTAGTTTAGTTATCTTTAAAATTTGAAGAATGTTAGATTTTTTTTTTTTTTCAAATCTTAAACTTTTAATTGAAAAAATACAGTTTTTAAAAATGGTATATGATTTGGTGGAAATTTTTTTATAGTCTATTTATAAATACAATCTCTTTACTGATGTACAATAGATTAATCAATTGTATTTATATTATCTTTTTCTCTCTCTACTAGTACGTACCCCGTACGTTTCACGGGACATAGATATTAAATGAGTTATTTTCACACGCTATGTCCGTTTAAGTGTAAAAAACAATAGAGTTATCATCTATTTTTCACCTCTTTTAATCGCCGTTAAATCTAAAAAACAATAGGGTTATAATCTATTTTCACTTCTTTTAATCAACGCTGTTATTTTAGCCATAACATTAAATATGATCATGTTAGGTCTAGCTTGTAAAATAATTAATATATTATCTTACTAACACATTTATACTAATATCAATTTAATTTTAGTATACATATTTATTCTTTAATATAAGAGAAAATTAGGGTTCGAATCCCTCTCTTTCCGTTTCCATTGATGACTTGATTTATTTATTTTTGAAATTTTGAAAATCTTAGTTAAAGGAGTGGAATAGATAAAATCCTAAAAAAATTCAAAAATGAACTGAGAAAAACTCTTTTTATTTTATTCTTCACACCCAGGATTACGACCCGGATCATTAGATAGGAGTCCAAAGATAAAGAAACAGTTTTACTTATTCTTGTTCACCATATAATACTTAATTATTATTTTAATTATAAAAATTGTTGTCATATAATGTCATTATTATTTATAGAAGTTGTACGTCTTCTTTTTATTTTTATTTTATGTTATGAAAAATATTTAATGCACGATAGTATTATTATTTATGTAATCAATTTAAAATATGTAAATGAATTTAAAATTAAATAGTATATTAAATATTTTACAAAATATACACACGTGACACATGTTTTTTTATAATTTAATTTTTGTATACTAATTAAACAACTTTGATTTGGCAAATGCCAAAAACTCAATCCTTTCTGTAATCAGAATTTTTTCTAATTTGCATTAGAAGGATATATAGTTTATTTAGCATACTTTACAATGAAACTATATGTTATAAGAATTTCATTATAGAAAGAAATAAAAAAAAAAAATGATAAAAAAATAATCATGGTTGCTAATAATATACAAATAAATTCTAAAGAACAGTTAATATATTTCAATTTTTATATTTGGCCATTAGTAATACTATTTAATGTATCTGGTCATTATTTCTTAAATGATACATTATATTAATTTGAAGAATATTTTATTTTTTATATATAACAAAATAAAGCTTAAGAAAAAAATATATTGGAAAAGATTAATTCATCAACTTGATTTCGCCTAATTAATTGGAAGAAAAAAATTCTACCTAACATGTTACGATTTTCAATAAATATTTTTGGATAAAAAAGTGAATGTTTGTGAAAAAAAATTAATATTATGGTTAGAACTTAAAATATGTTGTAATATTTATCTTGACTAAAATATTATCGATATGAATCATGAAAAATCAATCTTGTAATTTATTATAATGGATATCAATGAAATTATTGTAGATATTAATAAAATTATTTAAGGAAACAATATTTTTGATCATATCTGATTTGATCTTATTTGAAAACGCGTATATGGAAGCAATTCATGTCTATATTTAAAAAGTTTTCAAAAAAAGGTATGCATTAAATACTCTCCAAATTTTTAACTACTATTTTTAGTAAATGATTTTTTTTTTCTTTTTTTCCCAAAACGACAGATAATATTATAACTCAAAATGCACAAATTTGCGAATACACAGCAGCCAACAGCTGAAAAAAAGTGGGAGGACAGGTTAGAAGACCGCCTAGAGTCCCGACTAGCAACGCTAGAATAAAGCTCACAACTAAAACTACCCAACTAAAAAAACTAAAACAACAAACAACAACTAAAAAGACCCCAGCGGAGTAATATCCGAGTGTCGGATCCCAGTGGGATAATGAAGTGACACCCGGCTACACAGAGGCCAAACGGCCCAGACCAAAAACACAAACCTAAAGAAGCGAAAACCTGAACCACAACCTAACAGCAAAAAAAACAAACCATAAACAAAAACAGAAAGTGACACAGCCTCCCTCGCCATGAACATTGAGAATGACGACAGACAAACCATCTCCAACAACAGCTCTCGAGCCCGGAAAACAACCGCCCGCCACTGCTTAAGGCCTAGCAAGACGGGTACCCGCACCCCTGAACTAGTCGAAGAGTTGGCCCGCACTCCAATCGCGTGAAGAAAATTACACGGCTCGACTTCACCGAATCAGCCCGACTGAGATAGCAAACCATTCATCCCAAACCGAAACGACTGAAACACAAACGAACAGCCGAGCACAACAGTAACCACGGACCCCTCCTCGTGAACACCGATTCCAACTCGCCCAGGAAGAACCGAGAGGTCCTTCCGATCACAGACAAATAAAAAACCGAGACAAAAGCAGCAAAAGAAAGGGCAAACCTCCAAACGCCGCTTCGCCGGCGGAAAGGCGCGGTCTTGATCGGCGGCGAGAAAGGCAGTCCGGAAGAATAGGTGGCGTCCCAACCAGAGCCAAGTGCAGCTAACCCAGCCTCGTCCATGAGCCCACACCGCACCCCAATCAACCCCGACGGCCCCTGAACTCCGGCGCGCGACCTGAACAGAGAATATATCTCCGATGGCCGACGAAATCCGACGCTCAGACAGAGCCCCGCTGCAGCAATTGAGACGAGGATTGTGCCTCCCATGGACGAGCGATGGAGGCCGTCCACCGTCGGACTCAAATTTCCGGCGAGGGAGCTTCAATTGGCGAGCTTACCGGCTAGGGTTTCGTGTTGATTTTTGGGAGCGAGAGAGAGAGTTTTTAATATCTATCTAGTAAATGATTATTCTTATTACATATACTAGTACGAATCTCGTGCGATGCACGGGTAAGAAATATTCATTAATATTTTTAAATTAAAAATATTCATTAAATAATATTTATAAATTAAAAACATGGAATCAATAGTTAATACAATGTACCTATATTAATTTATTGTAAATGTTATATAAAATTTAAATTGTGCAAAATTACATAAAAATGTCTATTTTAAAAATTAGTATACAACCCGTACATTGCACATAACTTATAATAAATTACATTATATTCGTTTTGACTATAATTTGATTTTATAAAATAATTATTTTAGTAAAATTCTATCATATCTTTCAAAACCTATGTGAATAATAAGTATATATATACAACTTATATTGTTTCATTAATTAAAATGAATTTATTTTCTGTATAAAATATCCAAATAAAAATATTTAAGTAGTTGAGTAAAAGTATTCAGTCATAAGATTTTTTATGCCAAAAAAATCGACACTCTTTATCATGTTAAAAAAAATGAACAGTGCAATTCCTACAAAAATTATTTGAAATGCCATAACATTTTTTTTTTAACGAAACGATAGAGATATTATAAAACGCACAAATGTGCAAAGAACAGTCACCAGCTGAATACAAGCAGCCAACAGTTGAATACAAGCAGCTAATAGCTGAAAAAGTGGGAGGACAGGTCAAAAGACCGCCTAGAACCGACCTCAATGGGGTAATACTCAAGAACACTAAAAAAAACACACACAAAAAACAACAACACAAAGACCCCCACAGGGTAATACCCGAGTGTTGGACCCCCACAGAGTAATAAAGTGACACTCGGGCACACAGAGGCCAACGGCCCAAACCTAAAACACAACGACAAACATAAACACATATACGAACACACTAAACAAGAACATCAAACTAAACTAAAGGAAAACACAGCTAAATAACAGGCCCTTCTACAGCAAGCCAGCCAGCTCGAACCAGCGGAGAACTGTCAATATCAGAGGATAAGCCAAGTCCAGTGGACAGCTCCCGAAACTGCCACAAGGCCTATACAAGAAGTCGAGCCCGAACACAACCAAACTCCAAAGCGACTCGCCTCAAACGGAAGGACAACCGAACACGCACCCGCTCTAGCACCACCCGAGCAAACCTAAGACCACTAGCCGAGCATCGAAACACCATAATCCCGCCGTCTAACACCACTAGACGAAGTAGGGGGGCGGCTCGGGCCCTCAACTCCGACACACCACTAGACGAAAAAAATTGACCAATTTTTTTCTAAACAACATCGATACACGCACATTATATCAAAATATCCTTTCATATTATTTTTTCGGAGTTACGATAATTTTATTATGTTAATTTAATATGAAAAATTGAAATACACGCCTAAAAATTAATATATTAGCTTGTGCATTACAGAAAAAAGTACATCGTATATTGATTAATTTTTCAACAAATTTCCTACTAAAAAACAGTCATCAAATAACCTGAATAAATTTGGTCACTTTATACCATATATTGATTAATTTATTTCCTATATAAACAACCATCAATACAAAAAATACATCCGTCCACTTTATACCATTTTTTTAATTAATTCCTATGATTTGAGTAATTAAGGTATCTTAAAATGTGACTTAATTACTTTCTTAAATAATGAGCCGCAATTAATTACTTGGCTTAAGGATCTTGTATGTAAAGACTCTATTTTAATCAATTAATATAAGTTCCTTATCCCGTCAAAAAAATAATAATAATAATAATGAGCCGCAATTTCTATAAGTGATCATTTAATATATACCATAAATTGTTAAATTAATTTCCAGAAATAGTAAATAGATTTTTTTTTAGGAAAATAGTTACTATTTAAAAAATAATAAAATCTTTTTATATATATAGAGATATAGATTTCTTTTTTCTTTCCTTTTTTTTTAAAAAAAAATACCAGAAATTAAACTTTTCACTTTCCTTTTCTTTGTATCTTTTAATTATTTTTTAGTATAGAAGAATGCAGCTCTAAAATGAAACCTAACCAGTGATCTGTAATCTTGTGTTTACTCTGATGTCTGCCTTAATTCCGGAACTCTGGGATTCGAATCGTCTCTCTTTTATCCGCCACGTCTTGTCCCCTTCCAGGTTGGTGGCGGGGAAATGTAAATAACAGAACACCAGATATAAACTACAGAATAGATACATTAAAACATTATTTATAGTGTTAATTTAATTTATAAATATAATGGATCATATCATTTTAAGAAAATGAAAGAGTGTCTAAACTTTTTATGATGTTTGTAATATCAAAGTCAACTATGATCAAGAAGAAGACAGATAATTCGACAAATTATAATTTCACATGGACAATTATATAATATATGAGGCTTTTTCACATGGATGAATATATATATATCCAGATACGGAAATGCTATTGTCATACGAACAAATGAATGTTCAATAAATTAAGACATTTAATACAACAATGATTGTTAAATTAATATATGAAGGCTCTATTGTATATAAACGACTTTCGTTAAATAATTGTTCTATATATTTAAATATTGAGTATATAATTTGTCTACATTAACCTAAAAAATGTTTGATGCTTAAAGGGAAGGGAAACAAATTAGTCCTATCTTATGAAAAGAGAAACAAAATGAGAGTTACACCTATAAAATTTGGACAATCAAGTCACCAGAAATTGTCGGTTAATGCATTTGTTCCCCAACCACACATTATCGGAAATCTAAAAACTTCACTTGTGTTTTTCTTACTATTAAAGGTTCGATCAACGATTGGGAGATACAGTTGGATTCTGTATGAAAAGAGCTTTCATACATATAAATTTCACAAATATCTAACAGTTTGATCTCCGGTGACATTCCAAAATAGTTTACTTTGTAGCACATTGATTTTTTTGAAACTCTAATAATTATTTAACAAAGTTTGAGGTACTGTATAATGAAATTGAACATTTCTTTGTATTGATCAAGTCGAGAGCCTCAAAATGATATATGATTTGTTAAAATTCACTAATGGTAGACGAACGACAAACGACAGCTAATAGTGGTGGCCAACAGCTAGTGACTGGTGGCGGAAAGATATGATCGGATATTTAATTTTGAGGGATTGAAATCTCTTGATTTCAAAATTTTTGAAATATTTGTACCAAAATATAAAAAAAAAAAAAAAATTAAAATATAAATTTTTTTACTTGCACACTCCTTGAATGGATGTGTTAAAAATATTATAAATCAATTGTCTAGCTGCACCGATGGTGTTGACTCGCGGTGGTGATGAACCTAAATGATCGCGGACGGCGTGGTCGGTGATAAACAGTGGATTTCAAATGACTAGGTTTGAGGAGTCATTTAAAATCTTTCAAAACTATGACTAAAAAACATGTAGCATGAATTAAAAATTCTCCAACTTCCATTATCATCCCAACATGCATGTAAATTTGAAATCTATGGATTTCAAATCCCTATATCCAAACTTAGGCTTAATACTTTTTTAATTTAATTACCCTATTTTTCAGGTTCATCTCTTATTGCCCTTGATTTTTTTTTTTTCTTTTAAATTTTTTTTCCTCGTCAAATTATCCACGTCTGGATCACCCTTCCAATTCGTCTACCCGTTATGTTCTCATTGTATCGATTAGTTTTGTGAGCCTTATATTATGGCAACTTGTGATTATATATACACCTAACTAATACAACTCTTATNAAACTGAATGGGAGATAGTTTCAAAGGAAATCATCAAGCCCTCCTCACCAACACCTCATGACAAGAAACTCCACAACCTCTCGTTGCTCGATCAAATCGTCCCGCCATTTTTCGTTGCCATGGTCTTTTACTATCCCAACCTCGATAAACCGCCCAAAACCTCCGAGTCCGTTTACGAAACCACCCAAGCCCTTAAACAATCCCTCTCCAAAACCCTATCCCGCTTTTACCCCTTAGCCGGAAGGATCCGAGACCAGTTCTCCATCGACTGCAACGACGAGGGCGTCCCCTTCGTCGTAACCAAATTCCACAAAAACCTCACAAATTTCCTCAGAAATCCCGAGCTTTCGGCCGATCGGGCCCACCTCCCGGGCCAGCTCAACTTGGACGATCCCGGCCTGGGTTCCGAGGTAGCCATGTTCCAAGTCAACCATTATGAGTGCGGAGGCATCGTGATTGGCGCCCTTTTCCACCACAAGCTGGCCGATGGGCACTCAATGGGCCTTTTCATGAAAGATTGGGCCTCCAACACCCGCGACCCGCGGGCCTTGCGGCCCGGTCCGATCTTCGACTTCAATTCCTTTTTCCCACACAACCCGGCCATGAAGAGGGACTCCCACGTGTACACCGTCGTGAAGAAGTATTTCAAGGTCGGGAAGCCCGTCATCAGACGCTACGCGTTCAATGACGTGGCAATATCCAAGCTCAGGGCCAAGCTGGACGGTGGGCCCGCCCGGCCCACGAGGGTCGAGGTCGTGACAGCTGTCGTATGGAAATGGTTCATGGCGGCCGTTGGTGCACGTGGGGACGATAATAATAATCCGGTGCCCCTCTCTGTCATCACGCATTTGGTCAACATGAGGAAGAAGGTTGACCCGCCTTTTCTGGAGAACAGCTTTGGGAACTTCGTCTGGCTTCAGCCCGTCACGAGCCCGAACGACGGGCCCTGCAGAGACTTGGCCCGACTTTTTGGCAAGGTGCGTGGGGGAATAAGTAAGGTGGATTCAGGCTTTGTCGAGAGGATGGCGGGCCGAGATGGGTTCTCGGGCTATGTGGAGAATGTGAAGGACACGTGGAAGGAGTTTCCGGAGAAGGCGGATTACGTGTCGTGCTCGAGCTGGTGCAACTTCGGGCTTTACGGTGTGGATTTCGGGTGGGGAAAGCCCGTTTGGATTACGAAGGGCCATGCGGATAGCGAGAGCGAGTGGCCGTTTTTGAATGTGCTTTGGCTTATGGACACGAGAGGAGGGGACGGGATTGAGGCGTGGTTGACTTTGGACGAGCACTATGCGGCGGCGTTTGACCAGGTCAAAGAGTTTCGTGATCTGGCTATGGTCAACCCTAGCCCGTTGGATCTTGCAGGCATCAATTAATTTATATATGTTTCCAAATAAGTATTATCATTACTGCTGTCTCCAATCTGCATCTCGTGTTCGTCTTTGATTTCGCAGTTGTACTATTGTTTAGAACTTTAGATGTTGGAAAGCCAAGCGATCTAGTGGATACATGTTTGATTGTCATAAAGTTCGTCTTGTATTGTATCTTGATCTCAGTTTCAATTATACATAAAGTTCGTCTCTATATACATTCCTTTTACTAGCTTCACATGGAACCACAGGTTCAATTAAATCAATGAGCATGTCTAAATCAATCACTGTCTATTATCATGTCTAACAACTATAACAATTAAGTGAATAGAATTGAGAGAGCATGAATTTAACATGGTAAAATATTTCTTTAGACTATACTACTCATTTACATCTCACCCGCAGTTGCTGAAGTTGAATAATTAACAGATTAAACAGATATAACAATTGTTTCACCATTTCGAAAAATAATCATGGCTTGAAAAGCACCGATATTTGGGAGAATTGTACCATTTCCGGTTCGCTCTGACGAACACGGCTCTACCATGTTACCACCGCCGTTTTATGCTTTAACGTTAGGTACCTTTTTTTTTTTCAAGTAAAGTTAGTTAAAGAAACATGGAGGCAACAATGGGCCTGGCGCTCTTAGAAATTCTGGAGCAAAACATGAAGAGCAAGAGTACGGAAGACAACAAGAACAACCTGAAATACGTCCTTATCTCCTGGAATCCGAGGTCAAGAACCTCCATCTTCTTGCTGTATCTACTTTTCCTGTGCATTAAATATCCATTCAGGTAGTCATCTATTGATATCCATTTGTCAAAACTGGACACTACTGCCTTTGTCTCAACCCCATCCATCTGCATTACGTCTATCGTGAACATCTTGAAGAATGCAGCCGACCACTCATTCAAAACCCTCTGTCATTCCAGAAATATCAAATCAAAGTGAGGATAGTTACAAAAACGACCACTGAGGTCTACCCCTACTCAAAAGAAACTCTAGTTGTCATTCAGAAGAGAAACGAACTTCAATGGCCTTTTGACTTTTCCTTTATGTGAAGGGAAAAAGAAAAGATTGGGCTACATCTCAAGGGTGGGGTTTTTAATCAAATATCAATACAAAAAGCATGTTATATGAACCCAGGACATACATTGAAGGAGGTGATATCTATAGGATTGAACATTTTAAAACAGTCTGTCGAGGAGGCTTTAGGATCTCCGTAAATCTGCAGAAGGTATGCATACAAGAACATCAGGGTGAAAAACAGAAGAAAAAAAAAAAGTTTGTAATACATAATGAGTCATTTGAAAACCTCGAAGGTAAAAGCCATGGGCACCCTTGCAACATCAAACATATAATCTGTCGCAGTCCCGTGGGCCAGGTACCTAGAATATAAAATGGAATTGCAATTAACAGAAGGATTTCCAGTATTTCGTCCTGGATATTTAGCACAAAAGATGCATGATAAATTGAACACATATATATATTTGAAATAGCACAAACCCCACAGAGCCTCCACCAGACCCAATTAAACATTGATCTTTGAGGTGAAAATGGTTCAAATCTTTAAGAACTGATTTCATTATCTGGGTGGGTATTCCTGAAGGGGTGGCGTTTTTGTGATCGTACGGCATGAACAAAGCCTATATATTAGAGTTGTTGATCAACATCAATGATATAGATATTCATGTGACACCAAGACTAGGAAATTTTGAAAAAGGAAATTGATACTCACTGAAAGTTTCTCTGAGTGTCGATGGACCAATGATTCAATTTCCTCCAGTAAAGCTCCACTGCACACAATTTAATAAATAACCCAACATATTTAAGATGGAAAATGAGAGAAGTAATACATGCCAAACAAATGATCCGAAAGTAGGTTAACATAAAACTGGTTTTTTTAGCTCTAAAAACTCCAAATACACACACATAACTCATTGATAACAGTGAAAGAAAAAAGAAATAATAAAATAAACTCCAAGCTTCGATTTTCAACCTTTCCAAACTTTAATCATGATTATAAAACTTCAACAAGAATGCCATTAAAACAGGAACATGTCAACAGACAGACCCAACATCCATTTAGATGCAGATTTCCTTTCTTAAGCTCGATTCTAACTCAAGCAACCTCAAATAAATAAATAATAACAGCACAGGCAAAAACAACATTAAATATGCAGATCAAATCAAGCAATTCCTTACATGAGGGCAATGGGCGAAAATAGATAAAAACAAATACCTGGTATGGTAAAGATTGTGATTAATAGGGGTGACGGCAAGATTTTTTGTGTCGTTTAATTTCCCGTAGGCAGAGGAAAAGCGATCGGCGAGCAAAACGACGGACGCGAGAACCAGGATATTCGGAAATGGATTAAACCCCATATATAATCGGCGATTAGATATGCTTAAACTGCATGAGATGAGCTGGTTTTTCATCTCATCATTCGGAAATGTTTCGTGCGCGAAGTTGCAGATATTTTGTTCGAGCAGTGCGAGGTTTTCGAACATTCGAAGTCGACGATCTTCTCCGGGAGAAATGCAGAGTTCTTGAAGAACGACATCGTACTTACGGTTAACGCACTACGCGACCGCCGGTCTGATTCCACTTGCCATGCTCGTGTCCATTTTCAGCTGAATTTTCTCGACTTCATACCATTATATAAATTTTAATTTATTTTGAGGAATAGTTCGGGTATGTGCTGGATTAGAGCATCTCCAGTGGTACATGGATTGCTCTCTTCCATTGCCACCTAGCCTCCAAAATCCAATGTGGCATTCAATAAATCTAGAAGTCTTTCTACATCTAGAAAGACTTCTAGACATCTTCCATTTTATATTATATTATTTATGTTATATTTATGTTTTTACCAACCAATCATTATATTACATGTGTCAAATTATCTCACAAATGAGATTAACCATTGGAGACAATTTTATTTATTTTCCTTTCTCTACATCATTCATCTCAAAATAGACATTGAGCCATTGGAGATGCTCTTAGACGGTTGCCAGTTGGGAAATGAACTAATGCGGAACAATAATTATAAATTGTATATATTAATGTAGTTGAAGAAATATATAATTAGTATAGAAATAGATTAGATTATTATTATTATTACAATTATTTTATTTTATGATTACAATAATTTAATGTATGATTTATATTTTTTTTCACTCGTTATAAAATAATTGTAATTTTAGAGTCCTTGATTAGAATTAAAGATAATAAAAAATTAACATATTCAAATATTATTAATAAATAATAGTCACATAATACTTATCTCTCTATCCTCCCTATTCATATGCTATTACAATATTTTGATTCCTAAATAAGTTATGCTAGAGTTGAAAAATTATGGCAAATATTATAACCAAAACTTCATTGAAAAAAATTATAATATATAATTTTTTGAAGTTCAAAAAAATTAATAATTTCTAATAATATCAATATTAATTTATTTTATTTTAAAATTTATAATAATGTATGTTATAAGTATTTTTATTTTATTTTTTTAATCTATTAATTTATATGATAGTTCGACAACAGTTGATTTATTAATATAATTTATAATAATTTACATTATAAATATTTTGATCTAACAATTTATATATATCACTTAGGGCTCGTTTACTAAAGAGGAAAGGATTAGACAGTTTAATCCCTCCAAGTGGCCACATTTTGCCACATCAGATTTAGTCCTTAATTTACTATACATGATACAATCTTATCCTAATCAATCATTTATTTACTATCCATGACAAATTTGTGTGGTATTTCTCCCTCTTTTACATATATGCCCTCCCACATCCCAATCGTCTCTCTCACCCTCATTTCAAATCTCATCCAAGAGCCCCTCGTCTGGAACCCTAATTTGGCGACCCAATTTTCACGACTTCACCTCCCAGCATAATCCAATTTATACGTCTTCACCTCCCAGCATAATCCACCCTGCGCTTGTCGATTTCATAGAAGGGAGCAGAAAGTTCAAAGCGAACGGCTAGACGAGGTAAATTTCAGGCGGAGTATCGCAATCTTGAAACTGTAATCCATTGTTATTTAGATATCACGTCATTTGTCCCCCTTTTGTGAATCGTTTCTGTCCTAGGCTCTTGAGATTTGTGTATATGTTTGACATATGGTGTGTTCCCTTTTTTTTCACCTCTGTAAAATTTTAGGTTAGTGTCTTTTTTGTGCAAATTTTGGTTCGTTCCGCATTTCTTAATGTCTGCCTCTGTTCTTTCTTTTTTGTTGGCCCGTGATGTTAATTGTGATGCTGTGGTTGAGAGTTGAGAAATTATTACCACTCGAAATCAAGGAAAAACTGATGTGAATATGTGTTGTTGCTTGATGTTGTCCCAACAAAATGGTCCATGGTGGTATCTGTTCTCACGAAGGCCTCTTTTACACAAAAAAAGGATTCGTTTGCATTCAATATAAAGACACATCGCATTATCCAAAATAATATTCGTAAAATTGATAAAAAAAATAAGCACACCAAACCAAACATGAATGGATAAAATGTCCCAACAAAATGGTATAAAAAAAGTCAAGTCAACAACCATGGAAATGTTTGTTCAGCGCAATCTCATAATCGTATTTTTAAAAAACAAACTTTGTTAACCTAAAACACATTATTCTGCCAATCATGAAACATATCTTGTGCCAATCGGTCACGGAACTGTGTCCATTCTGGGCTACTCTCCACCTGGTCTATCAAATCATCTTCACCCGTAGTTGTGGGCAATCCAACTTCGGGGATCTCAGGAACTAATGCTTCAATTGGATCAGTGGCCATTGATGTACGTATGAAATTGTGCAGGAGAGCGCATGCCATGATAATGCGATTTTGTGTTCGAATGGAATAATATGAGCAACTCCTAAGAATTGCCCATCGCATCTTCAAAATTCCAAAACAACGTTCAATCGCATTTCTAGCCTTAGCATGACGAAGGTTGAACAATTCTCTAAAGTTTTGTGGCCTGCGTGATCCTGTGCCCCACTCTTGTAAGTGGTATCTCACACCTCTATATGGCGCTAAAAAACCGGGACCATTCGTATACCCACCATCCACCAAGTAATAATTTCCTGTGTCACATTTTCATTTATTGTAAATAATGAAAAGCTTGTGTTCTGTTTATTTTAAGAAGAGGAGTGGGTGATGTTTAGGTAATATAAAGGTAGTATTACCATTGGGAACACGTAGACCATGCGTCCTACAAACAGCATCACGCAGGACTCGATTGTCTGCCACTGACCCCTCCCATCCACAAACCATGTAAACGAAGTTCATGCTTCTATCGCAAACCCCAAGTACATTAACAGCTATACTACCCTTTCGGTTTCTATAGCGTGCCCTATCAGTAGCAGGGACTCGTAAGTCAATGTAGGTTCCATCTAGTGCTCCTAGGCATCCCTGACGAGACAAAACCAAAGATACATATTAGTTCGTGAGGGTTGAACTAAGAAATTCGAACGACGTTGAGAATTGTGTTGTAGGTTACCTTGAACCATTTCCACCTTTCATCGACACAATCCGCCTCAACTGCTTTTGGTTGCACAATAAGGATGGAGTGAATTCGGACGACAGCAACAAGAACTCGGTTAAAGTATTTGCTTATTGTTCGACCGGATCTAACGAAATCAAGCTTTAAAGTGACATTCTTCTTATGGTGAGCTAGGATTGAAAGGAAAATAGCCACTTGTTCACTTAAAGGAACATTTCTAGATTGCCTAAGTCTGCCAGAGGTTTCAAGAAGGTGACACAGACGACCAAAGGAGTTACGGTCCATACGTAGGTTCTCGACACAAGTTGTGTCACTCACGTCGATCAACCTTCGCATGTAGTTGACCTGATGTGGGAGTCTATCAATAACTCTAAATAACGGGACGTGGTTACTGCCCAAACGTCGTCGTTTTCGCCGAGGACGGATGAATTTGATATAGTAATAAGTAGCTAGTAGCAAAAAAAGTTGAACACTACACATGACCTCTTCCAATATAGCAACAACCGCTAATTCTTCTCCAACCGAATCCATCTACAAATGTGGATGAATAAACCTGATTGACACGCTTATTACACTGAGTTGTGGGGAACTAAATGTAGAAATACCATCAATATACCACACAATTAAACAGACATGCACAAATTTGAAATACAGTATGATGTATTTTTTTATTTCATGTGACGTGTATAGTCACATTTGGTAAGACTTTGGACTCTGCATGCTTGTTCATAATGTTATTATAGTTGTCTAATGTATTTGGTCATAATGATGTATTTGCATAATGTTATTAAGTCATGGCAAGAATGATGTCAGAGGAAGAGCATACATAAATGAAACATATCATCATGTGTTCATCATTGAACCAACAGTCAGGGGAAAAATAAACAATATAGTAGCAAGTGATTACCTCAGAAATTGGAGCACTAACGAAATCTCGAGGGGGGGAATGACTGACTTGTCTGAATGTTGCACCTGACAATCATCCATTTGAAGGTAAGACATGGCAAACAAGCACAAATGAGTCTGACAATTAAGTTTACAATACAAAATACATGCACTTAACATTCTGAAATCATTGACAATTCAGAATACATGCACTTCAACCCAACCAGTCAGTCAGTCACAGAAATGCAAGCAGTGCGAAGTCACCATTGACAATTCAAATTTGTTAACCCAAGCAAATCATATCAAAATTGACAATTGTACAACCAAGGCAGAAGCAATTAACCCAAAGCTAGTTGTTTCAAAGATTCAATTTTTATCGCAGTTAATGAATTGAACATAATAACGCTCCAAACTCAGTACAATGTTAGAATCTCCATAAAGACAGGCGAAAAGTCTGAAAAACTCATGGCTCTGAATCATCCCCAAGCACTCTATCCATAATCTAATAATCAAATCTAGTTCAAATCATTCTTAATCCAAACACAAACCAAAAGTGACAACAAAACAGAACAAGAACTGAGCATATGTAGAATCTTCGATTAGCCATGTTGGGGTTGATTAAAAACAGAAAAGGGAAATTAATACATACTCGTTGGGGCTGATTTTCTTGCTGTAACAGACAGTTTAGCAAACGAACGCTTCTCATCTTCACACACACCGTTTAAATTTATCGAATTCCTAAATTTCTTATTCGAGCTAAAAACAGGTCACCATTCACAACTCAACTCTGTTAACCCGAGCAAATCATATCAAAATTGACAATTGTACAACCAAGACATAAGCAATTAAACCTAGCATTGAGGATTAACATACAACCAAAATGTAGTTAAATTATTTGACTACTTATTTACATTTGCCCAAAGAATTAGATATTTAAAAATTATCATTTTGATCAAAAAAACAATTACATAAATTTATTTACTTTTATCAATTTAATTAGCTAATTTTAGAAATAAAAAATCAAATGAAAAACAAAACAATTCAACTATACCGCAAGTCATCGGAAAAACAGAGAATAATAGAGATGGGATAGAGTTGAGCCGCCGCCAAGAAATTGTAAATCGTACATATAGATCGGACAAATGAAAAACAAAAGTAGCAGAAAAATTAAATAACTTCCAAGTTCTTACCCAGCCCGGCGCCGTGAATTCGTGGGGGAGGAGATTACGTCACAAATCTCCGACGAACACAAACAAACTGACACCTGCGGAAAATATCATTATGTTAAACGAGTCGCACAACTGAAAAAACACAAAAACAAATGATGAAAAATGGATGAATTGGCCGGAAATTATGTCAAACCGTCAACCCAGTCGAACCAATTGCCACCTGCGAGTAAATATACGTTAGAACGAAGTATGAAAAAGTAAAATAAGAAGAAAAGCAAAAACGAAGTAGAAGAGGTGCACTAGGGTTTACAGGCGGAGAAGACGATGAGATAGAGCAGACGAGGTCGGGTCTGAAGATTTTCGGACAGTGAACAAAATATATATGCCTATATCTGTAAATTAGATGACATGGAGGGGTATAATCGACAGTTTATGTGCTGAAATGAGGTTAAAATGGGAAGGAGAAAGTCTGATAAAATAGTCCGGGCAAATTGGGCGGACTAAATTAACCTACCACATCATTTTACACGCACGGGTCCCACAGGCCACACAAGTGACACATCAGTTAAATCCTAGTCCCCAATAAAGCTAGTAAACAAATGATAAGGTTGGTTAACCAACCTTATCCCGCCCTATCATTACTAGTAAACGACCCCTTATGGATTTATCATTATAGTTTATAACAGTCTACATTATAAATCAGTCGGGTCAAGATAAAAATACTGCTATTCATAAAATTCGGTCATTAACAGAATTAAATATTCTCATCCATAACATTCTCAAAAGCAAACATTGAAACTCATCTATATCATAATTATAAATTATCCTTGCCACTCCAGATGTTATGAGCAAAAACTTGCTATGCTATTGATATGGCAAGAATTTCATCCTCTTGAACACTAAGCTCCAAGATTGGCAACATACAGAGGGCTTGGATTGAAAGAGACAAAATCTTTAAATTCTTGATTACATTCTAAAATAGCCATCTCTTCTTCATCCAAAGTCACCCAAGCTTCTATCCCATCATCAAACCTCCTATAAACCAAAATAATTAAATTCATAAAAAATGGACCACTTGCATCAATGCTGCTCACCCAAACAGGCCCCCCCCACCCAAAATCAACATCATAAAAACCCAGCTTACACCAGCTGCTAAAACCATAATGATCCACACGATCTTCACTCCCAAGTTCTCTAATCTCCTCAAGACACCTTCGCATAAATTCCAATCCCTCACCACACTGCATTTCCTTGACGAAATCTCCATCGATCCTAGATATACTTGTAAGAAATTTAACGGATATATTCATAACTATTAAGCGGAATTGAATAAACCCTACGCATGTAAATCTATCAATTCATAAAATATGGATCTTTTGCATAAATTAAATTGCACATAGAACTTACAAGAATCCAGCTTATAGTCCTTCCCTGTTTTCTTGATTTATGATGTTGATCTGCGATCTCTTCTTCGTAATCTCATGGATCTATCTTTCTCATAATCTCCATCATGGATTCGCCTTTGCCTATGAATTGTTTCTCTCTCCCACGTCTCTCGTTTTTCCATAAAGCCCTTGATGTTGAGAACTTTATTTTCGTATGAGATGGGAGAGAGGGGCATGTAGTATATATAGGAGGAATCCTACAAACCTATTCCTACTAACATTCCCCATGTTCTAACCTAACTTACTGTCCAAGTCAAACATCACAAATTGGACTCGTTTATATTAGAACATTAATAATCTATTAAATACATATTCATCTTAATTAAGTTTGACTATTAATTCAATCAGGTCCAACTAATTATATGGTCCACAATAATAGAATAATATATAAAATATTATTACATTCTCCCACTTGGACCATATAAGTGTCGAAACTCAAAGAACTACTTTAAGCGCGCACTTTTCATCAAACTTATAATTGAATACATATATCTCTAAATTTAAAATCAAATTAGAAATTAACCGAGTCATGGCGGTCACAAGTCTTCGAGCGACATGATCCCTTCCATGTACCACAAATCATTTCTAATTCAACTTTGCTTTAATATGGAACAAGCTATTCGTACCATAACCATAAGCCATCCAACTTTTATGTATACACTATAAAATCAAATATCCATAATGATGGTATTCTATGTGAAGAATCAAACATCTTTAATTGAATTCAATAAGTGTCAAAATCAATAATTGAGCAATTTCATTCAGTATCGGTCAGTCCAACAAGGCCCCATTCGTTATTCCCAGCTTTCTTTATATGCCTTCCAAAGGCTATAGGGAATAACCCTTTTAATGGATCCGCTTTCATGCAATAGTACTAAAATGCTCAAATGACACTTTATTTTTTCTTCACTTATATTTTACGACTAAGTATTTTAATTTCATGTGATTCACACCCTTTGAATACTTGTCATTCCTTGAAATATTATTGCTACGATACTGCGATAATTCTTAGCGGCTTGGACAAGATGTCGACATTTCCAAGTCCTAAGATAAAGCACCGTAGCCCTAAATTTGACTTGTGTCCTCAAAGCATACCACAAACTCAAACTTAATCGTGGAAGTCGCAGTGATGGACTTTCTTTGTCCCACTTTTCTATAATTTTGCTTCTTTAGACATTATGAGCAAAAGTCTGAATCCTATTACCAATTATACCAAATAATTTGGATCTTCTTTAAGTTAGCATGTGTTCTTTAATGCCTTGTACATACTTTAAAATTTTCTTTGCAGCATTTAAATAATCATTAAGGGATTACTTTTATATATTTGTTTAATGTACCATCAACAAATATGTTATCAAACCTAGTACAGGTTCGTCTCGCTTAAGACTCCTAATCATTTATATCTAAGGAATTTTCTCCATCACTTTTCATTCCATTTCACCTTTGGAACATTTATTTTAGATTAAATGTGTCATTTTTATGAATTGGAATTATACGGAACAACCATCCATTATCTCTCAAATAAAACTTTTATGGGATAAACTTTTAGTCCTTGTGATCTATTTCAAAATATTTCTATTCCAATTAGCAAGGACGTTTCATCCACATCCTTTATTTCATAACTTTTTAGAGAGATAATACTTTACGTCGTGCAACATGTCCACATTATTAGAAACTATAATATGTCATCGACATACGAAACTAAATAACAAATCTACTCCCACTGACCTTAATGTAGATACACCGATCTACGGTATTCTCTACAAAACTACAAGCAGTGATGGTATCATTAAACTTAAGATACCATTGACGAGAGACTTATTTTAGTCCATATATCGATCTATTCAACTTACACACTAACGCTTCATTTCTTGTGATCTAAAAAACTTTTAATTAGTTCATGTAGATCTCCTTCTAAGTTTATCATTTAGAAGGTGATCTTTATGTCCATTTTGATACAGCTCAAAAACATACAGAGCCACCATTATCATTACAATTCTCAAGGAATCTTTCTTGAAACGAGAGAGAATGCTTCCTTGTAGTCAATGCCTTCCTTTTGGTTGTAACTTTTAGAAACAAGTCTAACGTTATATCTTTCGATATTACCTTTAGAGCCGTGTTTGGTTTCGAAAAAACCCATTTACACACAACTCTTTTAGACCCTTCAGGTAAATCTATTGAACTAAAGACTTTATTTTCATCCATTGACTTTAATTTTAATTATTCTTTCATGGCATTGATAAACTTTTCCAGAATTTTAACTTTTCATGGCTTGTCATTCATCAACCATAGGTTGTTCTATAATTTCTTGATTGCTTGTGATGATTCATTATCAAGTGAGTTTGAATCATTTTGTTATTCATTAAGTTACATGACGATACTGTAACTAAAAGAATAACAACCATTGACGGACACTCGGGTCTAGACTGTTCAACCTGAGTTTCTTTAACATCCAAACTTTGCAGTTTCAAACTCCCACTGATTTGAACATTTTCAATGAATCGAGCATTGCTGGAATCAACTATTCTCATACTGTAGTTAGATCTGTAAAACTTATATCCTTTAGAACATTTCGGATAGCTAATGAATAATCACTGACAGTCCTAGGAATAAGTTTCTTTTCATGTGGATTATATACTTTTATTTCTGTATGGCACCCCCAAATATGAAGGTGCCTCAAACTAGGTTTCCTACCCGTCCACAGTTCATAAGGTGTCTTAGGAACTGCCATACTAGGAACTCTGTTTATCCAATATGCAGTAATCTTTAATACATGCATCCACATAGAAGACGTTAATGTTGAATTATTCAACCTACCTCTAACCATATTCTTTAAGTACGGTTTATCCTCTTAGCAATACCATTATGTTGAAGAGTCTCAATTATAGTGTATTCACAAATATTTCAAATCTCAAGAAACTTTGCAAATGGACTAGGATATTATCCTCTTTCATTGAACTTATAATAATATTCACCAATCTAAGGAGATCTCACAACTTTTACTTATTTATCTAACTACCTTTCCATCTCATCATTGTATATTTTTGGATAATCCAATGATTGAGTCATTTAATGTAGTAGATAAATATAACCATAACGTGAGAAATCATTTATAATGGTGATTAAATACTTTACATCACCCCATGAAGGGATGTTGAATAGACCACAAAAATTAGTGTACATAAGTTATAAGATTTTAATGCTTCTCCTGGCAGATCTCTTTAATGTATGCTAGTTTGCTTTTCTTTAATTCATTTTATACATACATCTTGATCACTAAAATCCAAATGAGAAACAGTTTCATTATTCACCATTCTCAAAACTTTTCTTCAGAGATGTGAACATAATCTTTAATGCCATAAGAGAGTATAGTATTGATTATGTGCACTACGTTTAACCCAAAAATAAATATGAGATACATAAGTAGTTGCACAGAATCAAGCCACCAACTATTATTGGGAATCTTTAATAAATTTGATTCACAACATACGAAAGTTTAATGTATGTTTTCTTTTCGAATCAAGATTTTATTTCGGGCAATCTCTCATGAGGTGACCTAACTTTTTACAGAAATAATACCTCATTTCTTTAATGATTGGACCTTCAAAAACTTCAAGTAAGTCAATCTCCTTTTATTTACCTTTATTTCCCATTTTGTCTTACTATTATTGGCTCTCACATGAGATATAAAGTGAATCGACTCTTCTTTCATCTCATTTAATCCCACCTCTTCCTGCACCAGCGTAGCCTTAATTTTCTTGCAGTCCTATTTATCTTTAATGGTGTTATAGTTCACCTAGGATTGGCCAAACTCGACAGGTAAGGAGTTCATGATGAATAAAACCATAAATGAGTCTATCATATTCATTCTCATGTTTGCAAGTTTAGCTTATATGTGGAACACATGGATCACGAAATCATGGATGGAGCGGAATCTAATGAACTTTTATAGTGGAGAGTACATTAATGAAACTTTCCACGATAAACTTTTCCCGCAATTTTAAATGGAGATAATTCCTTGATTTTTTTTTTTAGGAACTCTTTTACATTATTAGCCTTAATGTTATCCCCCATGATTAACTTCATAAAATTCAAACACAACCTATTTGATCGCTCACATACCCTACGAAGAGTTATCTGTACTTCGGAACTCTCATCAGTAATGGTTGTGGGAAATTCATCAATAATTAGAGTCATATCCAAATTCATTGAACCTAACTGAAATTGGATATGCTTAGACCATTCATTGAAGTTCATCCAATTGAATTTTTAAACTATAATACTGTATGGATAACCAAATTTTGAACGCTGCAAACTTCAATACATGCTATTAATTAAGCTTTGAGAGACAATTAATGGATTCAGATATCTTTTAAATTATATATTTAAATATACCTTTGGGCAAATACTTAAATATGTAATATACTTGATTGATGTCTAAGAGGAAAGATCTTTAATAGAAATTACACGAATTGTGATCAACTAGTGGTTATCTTTGGACAAACACACTAATTAACCTAACTTTAATATAATTTCTCTTTTAGTGTCATATATTACAAACCATGGCCCACCTTTGGGTGTCCTCCTAGTTTATAATCTATAACGTCAATTATTCAAATATGATAATATTAGGGTACATTAATAAGACATCGTCTTATATTTGAATAATTGATACTTTTATCTAATTTAATTATCTATTCCATAAATTAAACTAGGCCACTTTGGTGACTAACTAGTTTCTTACATAGATAATATAATTAGATAATATTTTATCTTAATTATATTTTATCTAATTTAATTATCTATTCCATAAATTAAACTAGGTCACTTTGGTGACTAACTAGTTTCTTTACATAAATAATATAATTAGAAAATATATGATGTGTATATTATGAGATTATCAAAACAATAATAAATCTCAATCAACAAATCAATTAACTTTTATTAGTTCCAAAAAGAAAAAAAACTGAAGCAGAACTACTCTTTAAATAATTCCAATCAGTAATATAATTAGAAACTTTGATGGATATTTTATGATACTCTATTCCATTCAATTATGATCCACATGATATACACAGTAATTCCATTCACACGCAGATCACACCAAGTTTACATGTCTGTGAATTCACGCATTATCTCAATTATACATGCAGATCATAATTAGTTCATTTGAAGTTTTGAACACAAAGCCATCCGGGAACCACTTTACCAATCAAGAAGAATCCATGATGATTTACAATGAGTTTGTTCGAAGTTTTTGCAACAACACCGAATAATAATCAATTCGCAGAAACAAAGCAAATTTGCAAAACTGAACACAATTCTAAACTTTTATATGGCAAAATAACGTGCATAAACACATGCTCTGATACCACATGTAAGAAATTTAACGGATATATTCATAACTATTAAGCGGAATTGAATAAACCCTAGGCATGTAAATCTATCAATTCATAGAATATGGATCTTTTGCATAAATTAAATTGCACATAGAACTTACAAGAATCCAGCTTATAGTCCTTCCCTGTTTTCTTGATTTATGATGTTGATCTGCGATCTCTTCTTCGTAATCTCATGGATCTATCTTTCTCATAATCTCCATCATGGATTCGCCTTTGCCTATGAATTGTTTCTGAATTGTTTCTCTCTCCCACGTCTCTCGTTTTTCCATAAAGCCCTTGATGTTGAGAACTTTATTTTCGTATGAGATGGGAGAGAGGGGCATGTAGTATATATAGGAGGAATCCTACAAACCTATTCCTACTAACATTCCCCGTGTTCTAACCTAACTTACTGTCCAAGTCAAACATCACAAATTGGACTCTTTTATATTAGAACATTAATAATCCATTAAATACATATTCATCTTAATTAAGTTTGACTATTAATTCAATTAGGTCCAACTAATTATATGGTCCACAATAATAGAATAATATATAAAATATTATTACAATACTTTTCCTCACTTCATCCACCAATTCATAAAACTCAACGTTTTCATTCACGACACGAGTATTTTCGCACACGCCAACCAAACAAGGTTCCCGAGGGACTCTTGCAACAGATTCGGTGACGCCCTTTTGCGTAAATTAACCAAATGAGTAACAAAAGAAGGCCTTTTGTGCCCAAACCTCTCTTCACAAGCCGCGGCCGCACATTTCCATATGAATCCCGAGACAGCCTCGACTCGTGTGGGCCGAGCACGGGTTGACGACCCAGCAGCTGCAAGGTTTTTGAGAATCTCGATTTTCGAGCCATCAAACACGAATCTCTTGGTCACAAACTGACCTTCACTGATCAAAGAACCCCACATGGCCGTAGACGAATCTCTAAGTGACACGTCAGCAGCAGGGAAAATCGAAGGCGCCGAAAGATTGGGCCGGGCCGGATTTTTCTCCTCGGACGAGTTTGCCGAACATGCCCAACTTTTCAGAAAAGTGCTCAAACCGACCCCATCGAGAATTTTGTGCGACACGCAAACTCCGATTGAAATTCCGCCACATTGGAACTCGGTCAACTGTATATTGGTCACAAAATCTGCCGATTTTCGAACGGGCCCACAGGGGAGAAGCTTGGCGATAAGCTTAAGATCCGGGCTCTCGAGAAAATCGCGTAGGAGGAGATTCTCGGCCTTTGTCATGACAAAACACGCTCCTCGATCATTACAAGCAATAGAGAGATCGTCTTTGATGGTGCCTGCAAGTTGAGAAAACCGCGAAAGAGTTTGGGATAGGGATTTTTTGAGGAGGGGCAAGTTGTGGAGAGGTTTGGAGTTATTTTGATTGAGGTAAAAGAAGAGGATGGGGGCGTAATCGGCTGTAATGAGGTGGTCAAGTGAGCAGAGGTTGAATTCTGTGAGGTGGCTTGGAGTTGGGGAGGATGGCTTGATTATGTCCACTGAAATGATATGCACATCCATGGCAGTGTTATGTTTGTTGATGATGGTAGAGGAAATCAATGTATAAGCAAAAGGTTTATGGTGTGATTTTTGTGCGGGTTGAAGACTTTATTCGAATTTTCCAATTTTATGACATAAGCACTGACGTATGAGCTGGCATTTTCGCCGGGTTAACCAGCTGAATATGATAAGCATATTCTCAAATAAATAATTGTTTTGAGAACGTCCCGTAACCCGGCTGAATATGATAAGCATATTCTCAAATAAATAATTGTTTTGAGAACGTCCCGAAAGCTCATCTCATTGGAGTGTCTTCTTCACCCTCGACCTAAGGAGTTGGTTCCTCGAGAATTTGATTGGCACGTTGAGCAGGGCGACGGAAAATTGGGAATCGATGTTCGGACTCACGGCATGGCGGCTATGGAGGTGGAGAAATCTAAAAATATTTCAAGGGAATGACGTCACTGTGGCCCAACATATTGATGACGTTTGCTCCCTCGCGAATATGGTGAAGCGTATGTTGGCGAGTGGTCGGAAAATTGGAGTGTCCGGCGCCCGAGAGATGCGGTGGATCTCGTGGGAGTGCCCGACGGTCACGCTGGTGAAGGTTAATACGGATGGAAGTTTTGACCCGGCGACGGGGATGGCCAGTGCCGGTGGAGTTATTCGGGATCATAACGGTAGTTGGGTGCATGGTTTTTTTATGAATATTGGTTTCTGTTCGATAGTTGGTGCCGAACTATGGGGTTTGTTCCAAGGCCTGGCATTGACATGGGATATAGGTGCCCATTAGGTTCAGGTTGAGGTCGACAATAAGAGTATTATCGAGATGCTACAGACTCGTCGTTATGACGGGCGACATGGTGGGCTTTTGAAGGGGATAAATGAGTTGTTGTGTCGCTCTTGGGTGGTGGAGATTAATCATGGTTATCGCGAGGCCAACTTTGTGGCCGACTACTTGGCTTCATTGGCATCAAAGGGACCCGGTGGTTTGCAACGGTTGTCAAGCCCTCCGCCGGGGGCGAGTATTTGGTTACATCATGATAGGGTTGGTGTGTCCTACCCTCGTTCGATCCTAGTTTAGGCTCTCTGTAGCCTCCTTCTCTTGTACCAAAAAAAAAAAATAATAATAATAAATAATTGTTTTTTTTACTCTTTGTAATCATATTCAGTTTCTACATATCCACAATTGATATTTAATTATTGCATTGGTCTATTTTATTATACTTTTGGTTACTTGTAAGTAATTTTTTCACACTCTTGTATAATTTGTAGTGTTATTTTTTTATTTTGTAATGTAAGGTTTAATCAAATAAATGTATGAAATGTATAAAAGTTTGAAAAGGCATAATTTGGAATGTGAGAGCGTGCTAACATAAACTATTAGTACTAAATAGGCGTAAGCATGAGTCAGTATGGTTCGAAAAGTAAGAAATCTCTAAAAACGTATCGAAATTGGAAGAACATTAAAATTCAATCTTCTAGAACTGTATCAAAAATCGATTTTGTTTGGTTTAAATATTTTTATATTTTGGTACGGTTCGATTAGGTATTCGGGACGGTTTAGTAAAGTTCAGTTCGATACGTAGTTCTGGAGGTTTCAAATTATTTTTTAATTATTTTTGAATGACTATCTAGTTATATTTAAATTTTTTATATGCTATTTAAAAAAAATCAACACTCATCAATACTTAACCATATGAAATATTTTATTTGGAATCAACTTTTGAAAACAGAGAATTAATTCAATGGAAATTTTAAATCCAAATAAAATATAATTTTTTTATGTGTTTCTTTTTAATTTTTCATACCATTTTAATTATAAAATTGGATAAGACTAGAAAATGTACCAGCAAATATAATATAAATACATTTTTCAAATAATTGTATATCACTTATTATTAAACATAAAATTTAAGTGAAGTTTAATTGTTATTACTATATATTATTAAGTATTTTAAAAACACTTAAATTATATAAGATTAAAGTTGATATAAAATCTATGAGTGATTTTGTAAATATTGTATTTTTGGTATAGTTAGATTTTGGTATCTTAGAGATTTGGTGTATATTGTTTTAAGGTTTCTTTTGTATCTTTATATTCGGCTCTTGTGAATCTCAGAAAACAAGGTTTTGTGAAATGAATTGGTGTTCACATATTTGTCATGGTATCAGAGACCGGTTAACTTTTTTTCTCTCCGATTCTAAGTCTCGATCAATTGAGACTCATAATTTTTCTTTCTCTTTCGACTGAGACTCATACTTTTTCTTTCTCCTTTCGTTGCTCTCGATCGACAGAGACACCTATTTCAAGAAAAAAAAGAAGAAAAATCACAATCTGCTTTCTTTATCTCAAGTCTCGCTAATTGAGGCTATTATTTCAATTTTGTGCTCATCTCGTTCAATCGCAAGCAGGGACGACCAATTCAAAAAAAAAGAATATTAATTTGATTTTTTGTGAGTTGTCGTGAGTGGCTAAAAAAAACCCTTGAAGAGCTGAAAGTAAAAAAAAATTAAAAAAAAATAAAAAAAAATAAAAAAAAAAACCCAAAATTTGCCTCTCTCAAGTCTCGACCAACTGAGACCTCATGGCTTCTTCTTCTTCCTCGACTGACGGACTGGCTGTTGCCAGCCGCGGTGGTCTAGCCCTTGTCAACGCCGCCTTCGCTAACGGGGCTACAAGTAGTACCTCTGGCTGCATACATGGCGGGCCAACATCTTCATTGACGGACTCCGATCGGGCGGCTATTTCTGGGTTGACTGATGCCAAATGGGAATCTATTGTATACCTCGTCACTTACGCCCGCAACAATGCTCCTTTGTCCGGTAAGCATAGTCCTTATGAGTGGATGTATGATAGCGGTGCTTCACATCATATGACGGGCTACTTGGAATTTTTTTCTGATATTCGGGATATTCCATCCCGGTCTGTGCAGTTACCTAATGGCACGCTCACCATTGCGTGTACAGTTGGAACTGTTCATCTTGGTTCTCGTATTATTTTATATGATGTTTTGTTCGTTGACAGTCTTCAGTGCAGCTTGATATCTTTATCTCGGTTGTTAGAACAATCTGGTTGTGTTGCTACCTTCACTAGTAAATATTGTGCTATTCAGGACCTCACTTCGAGGACGGTGATTGGAGCGGGTGAGCAGTTGGGGAGACTCTATTTTTTTTCGAGGGGCAATTAGTGCCAATGCTTCTCGGGTGTCTTCGGTTATGCAACACTTGTGGCACCAGCGGATGGGTCATCCCTCTTTTACTGTTCTTGGTCAATTGCCTTTTGTCGAGTCTCGCTCATTGGTCTCAAATAAAACTTGTGATGTTTGTTGTCGGCCGAAGCAATCTCGTGCTAGCTTTCCTCTTAGTCGAAGTGTCAACAGTTCCATCTTCAGTCTGATTCATTGTGATGTGTGGGGACCGTATAGAGTTCCTGCCTTTAGTGGTGCTCGATATTTTTTAACTATTGTTGACGACTATTCTCGCGGTACTTGGATTTTCTTATTGGGTGAAAATCTTCGGTGTCTTTCACTTTACTGTAATTTTTTGCTTTTGTCAAAAGGCAATTTGGTGTGTTGGTTAAAACTGTTCGCAGTGACAATAGGACGGAATTTACTGGTATGCGTGATTATTTCCGCCAACAGGAGATTGTTCATGAAACTACTTGTATCGGAACTCCTCAACAAAATAGACGTGCTGAGCGCAAACATCAGCACATTCTTAATGTTGCTCGGAATTACGCTTTCAAGCCCATTTACCGATTGAGTTCTGGGGACATTGTGTACTTGATGCTGGCTATTTGATTAAACAAACGCCTACTCCTCTTTTATCTGGCAAGACTCCCTATGAACTTTTGTATGGAGAACCTCCCAGCTATGCGCACTTACGTGTTTTTGGTTGTTTGTGTTACGTGAACAATCAGAACAGGGAAGGTGACAAGTTTGCAAGTCGGAGTCATCGATGTGTTTTTGTTGGCTATCCATCAGGTCAAAAGGGGTGGTGTGTTTATGATTTGGACAACCACATTTTTTTGGTATCACGTGTTGTGAAATTCTGTGAATCAGAGTTCCCTTATTTGACGTCTCCTGCTCTTGACACTGCCATCGTATCTGTGGTTCCATGGTCTGCTATTTCTGACGATGATGATACTGTGGTGGTTCCCACTACGACGTGTACCGTTGACACTGGGGGTTCTGAAGTTATTGTTGTTAGGGGGTAATCCTCCCCAAGAGGAAGTGCTGGGCCGTGGTCATCGTCTCAAGAGGCCCTCTTCCTGTCTTACCGATTTTGTCTCTCACACTATTTGTTCCTCGTCCCACCACTCTGCCTCCTCAATCACGTCATCATCTGGTACTCTTTACCCTCTCGCACACTATGTTTCTTGTGATTCCTTTTCACCTGCACATCAGTCATTTCTGGCAGCCATTTCTTCTGTTGTTGATCCTCGGACCTTTTCTGAGGCTGTTCGAGATAGTCGCTGGCGTTCGACTATGCAACTGGAGATTCAAGCATTGGAATCGAATCATACTTGCAATATTGTTTCTCTTCCTACAGGTAAACATGCGATTGGTTGCAAGCGGATTTACAAGATTAAATATAACTCTGATGGTTCTGTTGAGCGCTACAAGGCGCGTTTGATCGTCTTGGGTAACCGGCAGGTGGAGGGCATTGACTATCAGGAGACGTTTGTACCTGTCGCCAAGATGGTTACTATACGGACTTTTCTTGTTGTTGCAGCTGCTCGACATTGGGAGGTTCATCAGATGAACGTACACAATGCATTCTTACATGAGGATTTGTCTGAAGAGGTGTACATGATGCTTCCTCCTGGTTTTTCATTCGCCTGATCCTGGTAAGGTGTGCCGATTACGCCGTTCTCTGTATGGTTTGAAGCAAGCTCCTCGGTTTTGGTTTGCGAAGCTTGCTTCTGCTCTACGGCACTATGGTTTTCAGCAGTCATATTCTGATTACTCACTATTTGTTTTTCAACGTGACTCATTGAGTTTACATGTTCTGGTTTATGTTGATGATCTGATCATTTCTGGAAGCGATCCAGCCGCCATTACTGCCTTTAAAGATTATTTGGGTCGCTGTTTTCGTATGAAGGATTTGGGTTTGTTGAAATATTTTCTGGGTATTGAGGTTGCTAGGAATTCTTCGGGCATTTTCTTGTGCCAGCGGAAGTATACTCTTGACATTGTGACCGAGAACTTTCCCATGGAACAGAATCACCAGCTTCCCTTAGCAGACGGTCCTCTCTTTTCTGACCCCGAGCGTTATCGGCGTCTCATTGGGCGATTGATCTATTTGACAGTCACTCGTCTTGACTTGTCTTACGCGGTTCATACTTTATCTCAGTTCATGCAGCAACCTCGTCAGGCCCACTAGGATGCTGCTCTTAAGGTAGTTCGTTATTTGAAGGGTACTCCGGGTCAGGGTATTCTTCTTCGTTCAGATTGTGACTTGCAGATTTATGGTTGGTGTGACTCTGACTGGGCGACTTGTCCCACTACACACCGTTCTCTCTCGGGCTGGTTTGTCCAGCTTGGTCATTCACCCCTTTCTTGGCGCACCAAGAAACAACACACTGTAGCCCGGTCTTCTGTCGAGGCCGAGTATTGACCTATGGCGACCCTTACTTGTGAGTTGAAATGGTTGAAGGGTTTACTTCACAGTCTTGGCATTGCTCATTCTCAGCCCATGCGGATTCATTGTGACAGCCAAATAGCTCTGCACATTGCTGTTAATCCTGTATTTCATGAGCGCACGAAGCATATTGAAGTCGATTGTCATTTTCTTCGTGATGCTCTTGTTCAAGGTCTCATTTCTACCGCTCATGTTTCTATTCATTCTCAATTGGCGGACATCTTCATCAAAGCCTTGGGAAAACGCGAGTTTGATTTTTTTTCTTGGCAAGTTGGGCATCCGGAATCCGCATGCTCCAACTTGAGGGGTGGTGTTAGAGTGATTTTGTGAATATTGTATTTTTGGTATAGATAGATTTTGGTATCTTAGAGATTTGATGTATATTGTTTTAGGGTCTTTTTTGTATCTTTATATTCGGCTCTTGTGAATCTCAGAAAGCAAGATTTCGTGAAACGAATTGGTGTTCACATATTTGTCACACTCACACAGACTGACATAAAGATTCTTCAATAGAGCAATAAAGAGAACACTTCATCATCCGCTAAATTTTGGTTTTCAAAATTAACCATAACAAACCAAAAAATCCAAACCAAATTAAAATATTTATATCCAAGCATCCCCTGAACCGCCTGGCCAGTTCCGAATCGGAACCAACATGGCGGTTCGACCCTTTGTTGTGTGTGTGTGTGTGTGTGTGTGTATTTTTTTAAATTTTTCATTATTTTTTAAATTTTTTCTATTTTTTTAATGAACTAGGCCGGCCTGAAACCGCCGATTCACCGAACTGGCCCATATATAAGTTAGGGCCTGTTCAGGACAGGCAAACCCTTGGCTCGGACTTGACAGTTCGACCCGAAACGGGGCCAAAATTGAAAATTATCTTCTCTGTTACTGTGTGGAAAGCCTGGGGGTGGAGGAATGATCGGATTTTTGCCCAACGAGTCCATAGCTGTGAGGCGCGGTGCTCGGAGATTCTTCGGTTGGCTGACGATTACAGCTGGGCAGAGGCGACTTACGCGAAGGTGGGGGCTAATCTCCATGTCACTCGCATGATACGATGGATTCCACCGGAGACAGGATGGGTAAAGCTTAATACCGATGATGCGGTGGATATCCCCACGGGAATTAGTGGTGCCGGAGGCTTGCTTCGCGATGATCGGGTACATGGCTCGGAGGGTTTATCATGCATGTTGGGTATTGCACTATTACGGGGGCTGAGTTGTGGGGCCTTCTACAAGGTTTAGAGATGGCTTGGGATCGGGGTTTTCGACAGATTATTGCCGAGATGGACAGTAAGTGCGTTACCCAGTTGACTCTTGGTACCAGAAACAATCTTGGGCCCCATGCATTGCTAGTCTTAGCCATTCGTCGTTTGGTTCAACGGGAGTGGAGTGTTAGGATACAACATGTGCATAGGAAGGCCAATTTCGCAGCTGATCATATGGCGTGTCTGGCGCTCTCTGCCCCGATTGGTTTGCAGCGGTTCTCGTCACCGCCTGTCGGTCTGGGACCCTGGCTTGACCACGATATCATGGGGGTGTCTTACCCCCGCCTTTTTCAAGTTTAATATTCCTTCCTTAGATTGTCGGCCTCCTTTATGGTACCAAAAAAAAAAAAATGTAGCAATGATACATATTATATTTATTTTATGTTACTTTATCAAGTTTTACTCATTTATTTACTCACAAGGAAATAAACAATGAATTATTTCATTTGTTCTCGTAAATCCTCTATGACGAATCCATGAATTTGTGTACACAGCTCACTCCGAAATAAAGAGAAATCCCATTATCTTCTATATTCCAACGATATTTCTACTTCCGTTTGCTAATATTTGTCTCGCTTATATTCATCCGCTTCAAAATTCTCCATCAGAAAATCAGATGCGGATGCCAGCCCGGTGAACTATTGCCGGAGATCGGTCTCAGATCTGTACGTCGACTCATCTTTATGTATACTGATTTCATGTCTTTGTATTAATGTTTAATGTCTAGCAGCTGAGATTATGTGGAGTATTTATTGCTTTTGCTTTGTTGATTTGGGCACTCGGCAGTTGTTACCCCTCGCATTTAGCAGATCTTTAATCATTCGCTTGATTATGTGAGAAAACGGTACGACTTCATCTGTTGAAGCGTGCTTTGTGTTTGGTTTGAGTTTCTATTATTTTATCTTCGTGATTTTATTGGAAATTTTTCGACTTTAGTAGCAATCCGTGATTTAGTTGAAGTTGTTCTCATTGGGATTGTTACAGAGTTCATGCTTCAATATACTTTAGGTGGTCTTGAATCCAAGTGCATTGTTTGCTTGATTTCATCTCATAAGTAATCTCAAGAGGTTATGCTTTTAGTTGAGGGATATCTAATTTTTCCAATTTTTTATTTTTTTATTTTTTCTCAATAAGAACTAGATTTTTTATCAATCTTTTAGCTGCCTCAGCTTTATTTATGTGTCTCCATCATGTTATTTCTTCATAGATCATTCTGATTTGTGAATAAGGAAGTCAATTATAAAAAGGAAAAACTAAAAATATTGATANTATGTCACGTCTGTGATACCTGATATTGATTTCATTTTTCTCAGGTCAACTACAACTTGTATGCAGTATAGCTGAGTAAAATCAAAAGAAAAAAAAGCAATTGGGGTGGTGCTCAGATGAGAAGGACTGATGTTACTTGCCGTAGAAGGGGGAGGGTTTTTCTCTACATCAGCTTCCGGATACAGTAAGGGCCTGAGCCTCCTTCTGTTGGGCCAGAAAAACGAGGACAAGCCCATGAGAGTGGCCCCGTGGACTCAGTACCAGTTGGTGGACCAAGAAACCAATCCCGACCTCCAGCTGGCGCCTGGCAAGAAACGCCTCGTCCGCAGGTGCGCCTCTTTCGTGTGCTTCGGCCGAGCCACTGCCACCGGCCCCGAAGGTCCATCCAAGCCGAATGTGGGGCCCACCGAGAACCGAGAATTCCGGCAAGGATCTCGAGAGCGTGATGGCATTAAAGATGCAGCTCATTCGGTTGATTGTACTGTTGATGGTGATAACAATGGACAGATAGGCATTAGTCGCAAGAGTAGCTTGAAGAGATCAGACATTGCGGGCGCTGTTGTTGATGATGGCAGCTGTGGAAATAGCAACAAGCTTGATTCGTCAGACGTCACTTGTGAAACGGGAAGGAGGAAAGTTCAGTGGGCAGATGCAATTGGAGGAGAACTTTTTGAGATTCGAGAGTTCGAGATGAGGTAAGAAAGCTTATGTTGCGTAAAATTTGATGAAAACTTTGAGTTATTCGTATTTGTATGGGTTGTGCAAATATCTTTTGTGACGGGGTTTTAATATGTTTGTTAGAAGATAAAAACAGAATATCTTGCTCTTGTGTGCTAGTCTCAGCTTTGTCTGCAATTGCTCTAACTAAATTTTTACCGAATTAGGAAACTTATATTTGCAAGAGGGGGTGCGCCTTCTATCTTGCATGGTTTTTGTTATGTGTCCAAAAAAGTTTTGTTAGAACTAGACCAGACCTTATTCATTTACCTATTTGTCACTGCAAATATTGTCAAGTGCGAAAGCTCCTTGAGATGCTAGCTGCAATCGTGGCAGTACTAGAAATTCAAAATCTACATTTTTAGACTGGGTGTGTCTGCAGACAGTGTCTTGTTTAAAACTAATTTCTTGGAGAAGCCAGTGGTACAATGTGCTTTGATCTATCAGTCGTTCTTGTTTAAAATGAGCTTTTAACAATAAAGTAAAAAATGATTCTTTGTTAAATTATTTCTTGACTGTAACATTTTAAGCATTTCCTTTGTGGGGAACAACTACTTTTGCAAAATTCATGTGCACCCTGGCCATGGACACTCATACACTATATAAGACTGAGTGAAAGTGTGAAACAGTTTATGGTGACGTTCGTATTATCCTTGTTTTTTACTTCTGTGTATATTGATCCAGTGACCCACCCACCCCTTCCAACAAAAATGNAAAAAAAAAAAAATGTGCTGTCCGACCAGAGTATAATTTAAAAGTACAAACAAAGGCCTTAATTCAATGAATACATTTTCTGTTTGCATGTATTTTGTGCGAACCATTTGTCTTACTAATCAAGCCTCCATATTTTCTCAGTGAAGATGGATCAGATGATGAATTTGATCATGCGAACGAGAAGACTTGTGCATGCAGGATAATGTAGCCAGATCTCTTCATTGTGGGCTCTTGTGAGCTTCAATTGAAACAAGGCAGTCTCTACTGTGTTTGCTAGAATTTTGCCATGAGCCAAAACCCGGTCCATAATCCCCTAGCTCGATTGTTGGAAGATGGGTAAACAAAATTTGTGAGGCAATGCCGGATAATACGATGGCTAGTCATTGATCTGCATTATCCTTGGTATTGCTCTCACTGCAGTTTTGGTGCAATGGGTTCTTCAATTATCTAGTTGAATATTCGTTCTCTTTTGCCTTTTCAAATTAGGGAGTTTTTTCTTTCCATTTCTTGGGCTGATTGTGGATGATGATTTTTGTTATTATTTTGTATCTTGTAGCTGTCCACCCGATCCATGGGGAGTAGAATTTCATTTCAAACATGTGTAAAGTTTAAACTGAATTTCAACTGGCTGAGTAAGATGAAATTGATTTACTACCATAAGATGGATGGAACTTATTGGTGAGTGTCTATTATTCTTAATATTAGAATATTTTGTAGTTTAATTTTAGTATCTATTATTATTATTATTATTATTACATTTAATATTTATTTATTATTTATGTTTAGTCTTAGTGATCAAGTTATTGTTAAGCTTTAGGAGCCTTATATAAAGTAATCCCGTACTTTTGTTTGATGATGATTGAATAAGAAACGCGTATTTGAGATTGAAATCTTTTTCNTGTTCAACAAATCACCAAAAAGGATCAAATTTAATTATCTAGGTTACCAAAACTAGTTAAATTAAAATTTGGGTGCCAAAACTACATAAAAATGGATATAAATGTAAATAATAAATTCATTTGCAAGAACATACAACTAACTAGTAATCAACCTGTGCATTTGCACAGAGAAAAATACTTTAAAAATATAACAATATAAAAAAATCATAATTTAATTCATGAAAAAAATATGAATTAAGAAAATAATTTCCAAAATTGATTTTGATCAAGTAATTGCTGGAAGAGCCGTTACAACCATTTTCTTTATGCTAATATATCCGGCCATTTTCATGAGTGGGTGTGACTTAAAATTTGAGTAAATTTTGTAACTCTCTTGATTGGTTTATGCTCATAATTTATGGCATTCAAACAAGTTATTTTATAACTTAAAAATGAAATTGAATGTTGAAATTTTTGAAGGGATAATAAAATTTAATGCATGATAATATAATTAAATGCTATGTTGCTCCTCTTTATATATATATATATATATAGATAACTTTAAACACCAGTACACCACCAAAATTCAATTTTTTACAACTAATCTATATATATATAATTACTAGCTATGGCATTTAAGAAAACCTCATAAATAAAACCTCTAAATTTTCTCTCCATTTTCGGTTACAAAATTTATCATCAATATTTTTTTACTTCTCAATTAATACATCCTATGGAGTGTAATCATGTATTTTTCTATTATATTATATAATAGTTAATGCTAATACCAACTAATGATAATTCACAATAAATATAAATTATATAATTATAAACAATTGTTTCAAGTTATTTATTTTAACATCAATATTATCGTTTTCTTTTATATCTCATGAAAAAATTTCTTTAAAAACAATTAGTAAATAGTTTTAATAGCATAGTCAAACAATTTTAAAATCTTGTGAACAATTGTTTTTGTAATAATAATAATCAAACTGTTATTATCTAATGATAATAAATAATTGTTTATAAAAATACATAATTATTATTTTATTATTTCTAATGATCAAATTTTGAAAATAAAATATATTATTTATTTAGAATTTTAATATTAAATTCTCATATATACTTATAATATTTTATGTACATCTGCATGTACACAGATTACTAGTAACTTTAAACACCGTTACACCACCAAAATTCAATTTTTTCTATACAGAAACTTGGCCACACCTTATCCACAAACCCCAAAACCCAAACTATCACTAATTCACAATCTTCTCCCTTTACAATCCAAAAAAGAAAACGCACGCAAATTTACAGTATCAATTGCAGAAACAATAGAGAAAAAAAATAATGTCCGTAGCAAAATCACCTTCATTCCCATGCTTCAAACTCCGAAACTCATCTCCGTCCCCTCCATCTTATTCTGCGTATTCACCCTCTTCTTCTTCTTCCTTCAAGTTCACCATTAGGAGCTCTCAGGCTGAGGGTCCTCTAAGAAGACCAGTGGCTCCTGCGCCTTTAAAGCCTGTGCCCCCATCCCCAACGCCGTTCGATTCTCCGCCGGCGGCCTCTGCTCCGCCCAAGCCGCCGCCGGCTGCTGCTGCTGCTGTGGAGGACAAGAGTGCGATCACGTTGGAGTTCCAGAGGCAAAAAGCCAAAGACCTTCAAGAGTATTTCAAGAAGAAGAAGCTGGAGGAGGCTGATCAGGGTCCCTTTTTCGGTTTCATTGCCAAGAATGAGATCTCTAATGGAAGGTAATTTCGAAAGGCAAATTAGAATTCCCCTTTATTGCGTGTGCTTAATTTGATTAGGGGTCAGATTTATTTATTTTTTTTTAGTTTTTTTTTTCTTTCTGCTTTTTGTTAGAATTGGATTAATTTCTTGATTAGTTTACTGGCAACAGTATGTGGTTCTGTTAGTTGTTGAACCTCAGATACTATAATTGTAGTCTTGACTTGTGAGGTTTCGAATTTGTTCGATTACGCCATGGAATTTTTGAAATGATTGAAGTACTTCAAGTTATCTCGGATGTTGTGCTCAATGAGAGCAAAAATCTTGTGTGGAACTGAAGGGTAAGAGCTCATCTGTATAGGATTTTCTTGAATTGAATCTAACAATCTTTTTGACTTAATGAAGCAGTAAATTTGAATTCGACATAATATCCTGGTTGAACCTAAAGAGAATTCTGCCTCATGCATTTCTTGGCATAACAGATTCTGCATCAAAGTCCTTATGCAGGTGTTAAGCTAAGACTAAGATGAACTATTTTGGTGTGTTTACTGTTTAGAGACAAAATATAATAGGATAAAGCTAGAGAATCATCCCTAAGTCAAGCTTATTACCCGATCTTCCTGTGATGCATAGATGTGGTCACAGTTGATTGTATGAGGCCTAGTTAAAATAAGTCAGCTAGCCCATTATCTTTCCTTCCCCATTTATAGTTTCTGCACGTGATGAACAAACTCTTGAGATGGTTAAATTTTGCATTTTTTCAGTCCCTGTAAATGGTTTCTACATGGTTGAGGTAAACTTTGGTGTAAAATTGAACTAATCCAATTTGATCTAAGTACCTTATGTGCTTGCCTGGATTTGCAAATATGGTTAAGTTTTTAACTACCCTTCAATGTTTGTTGCCTAGAAAAGATCCATCTATTTTCTTGATTTCAAATCTGAAATTGTTGCTCGACTTGATCACCATTTTCATATTTCATAAACGGTTTATTTTCATGCGTTGGTACCTTGGTTTTATATTTATGTGTTTGTGATCGTGATGTTTGATGGGCAGATGGGCTATGTTTGGTTTTGCTGTGGGGATGTTAACAGAGTACGCCACGGGCTCCGATTTTGTGGATCAAGTTAAAATCCTTCTCTCCAATTTCGGAATTGTAGATCTCGAGTGATTCCTTTTTTTAAAAAAAAAAAAGAAAAAAAATCTCTTTGTATGTTGAGTTCTTGTATCTTGGAATGGATTTTATTGGTTGTGCAGTCTTGTGCTTGAACCTTTTCTGCAGTTTGTTGTAGCTCCTCAAAACCGAATTTTAAATGGTACAGAAATATTTTTATCACACGAAGTAAGTATCCTCTTCTCTCCGTATTTGTCAACATATCATTTTTAAACAACTTTAGCCAATCCGTTCGCAGGAATATCATATTAAGTTATTAACAGTGAGTTCTTTAAATAAGTAACACTTTGAAAGTGTTACAAAATCTGCAGTTCATATGTCTCAACATTATCAACAATTGTCAATAAAGATCAAATGTCCACATGCATTACTATTATTTAACCAAATATCTAAGTTTTTTTCATGATTATTAGTTACATGTTCATCAAGCTAGAACTCGTCACGCAGTATCGAGAACAGAAAAGAACAAGAACCATGAATTATCAATATATATTTTTATTTATTTTTTAAATAAAAAACTTAAAATGTGGACAAGGCCTCACTTTCTCCTCCGGCCACCACCGAACCCAACACGGCCACATTATCAACATTCCTGACCGAACAATTCCCACGAATCTCGCCCTCTGCCCCAGTCAGCGCGCCAAGCTGCGACATCTTGACCATGGCACTCACGAACATCTCGTAAAATAGGGTTTGGTTGACCGCAAAATCCGTCACAATTCCTCTCGTCCGCCCGTCGGTGTACAGATCCTGGTCAGAAGTGAAAAGCCCTTGCCGATTCATCAGATCCACATAATACTTGTTGTCGAAACTGTTAGGGGACCGGATGTCGAGCACCGTCGTGTTGTCTGTGTCCGCCGCCGGGCAAGTCGACCGGAGGTTCCGGGCAAACGTCTGGTCCATGGTCGGGTCCTGAGCCGGGTACAAGCGGTCGGTGAAGGAGGTGCAGTGGCTGATACCGATGGTGTGTCCGCCGGAAAGTGCCACCACGTCGGTGGCCGTGAAATTCTTGACGGAGAGGGAGTCGAGGAGGGTGGTGGTGTTGCTCGACGGCGGCGGGAGGTTGGCCAGCGTGTCGTTGATGGTAGCAAAGGCCAGGCTGTCGCGGCGGCCCAAGGGGAGGTTATAGTCCNAAAATGAATCATTGTTAATCATAAAATAACGGAGATTCGCAATGGGATTATTATTGAATCTTGGAAAGCGTTGTTTTTTAAGAATATTTTTTTTCTTGTAATAATAAGGGAGACAAGATCTCGCTAAAAAAATATCTGAAGAGGCCGATTTACCTCAAGAAGACAAAAGTATATAAGGACTTGATTGTTTAATTATTTCATTCTCATTTATATCATACTCAAAATTTAACTTAATTTTAACTCAACTCCACTATTTTTAATATTATTTATATAATTAAATAATACAAACCAATCATTCTTACACATTACATCAACTTCAATTCACTATTCATCCACTCACATAATTTTAACTATCAATTATTTTCAATCATTTATCTCCTACTTTTACATTAAATCAATTTTAATTATTTTATTTTAAATATTATTATAATATATTCTTAAAATTCTACTAACAACTAATCATACCACCTTTTTCAAAATTAACTATGGTTAACCAAAATAATTCATTTTGAACAAATTATTTCATAAACAATCACCCCTTTTGGTTCTAAATTTCTAACTTAGTTACAATTATAATTTTATTATTAAAAACATATGAAGCACAAGAAATGTATTAAGCACACAACTTAAAGAATTATTCATCCCTTTAGCATTATTATTTTGTTTGTAATTTTTTTATATCCAATCCACAAACTTTTACAATATGACAAAATAATATTGGAATAACTTTTAGTTGTTTTCAATTATTTTCATTAAACTGTACTTAAATGAAAATTAGCATTTAGAACTAAACTATATATTACATGTATAGTTTATAATTCATGATTTATATAAAAATAAAATTTAATATCAAATGACAATATTATTTTAGCTAACTGAATTATTAATGTGTTCAAATGTTTTAAGTGCTTAGAAATGCAATCTTATAATGATAAAAGCAATAAATTTATATATTTCTTATATTTTTTTATTTGCTATTATATTCATAATTCTTTGTTCAAAATACACCTTTGTATGTTTATGCTCTACCATGCACTTCTCTATTATTTTTAGTAGTTTCTCTTCTCTCCTACTTAACATATTTTTATTTTTATTTTTATTTTTTCTAAAAAGGTAAGTAATTTTATATGGCGTATTATTTGCCATGGGGGACCTCAGTTAGTCGGTGGTCACAGTCTTAATATCAGCGGACATCAACTTAGTACTACGAGATAAATATTGCATTAAATGCAGTGTGTACTATACAGGGACCTGCGTAATTACTAATTACCATTCTTATCATCAAAACAAAAGGCTCAAATAAAATCAAATTCATGGGGATGTGTTGAAAATTTAGTCCCAATTCCCAAATATTGGAAAAGTATTCAAACAGCTGCTAGTTAAAATTGAACTTGATATAGAACTTTAGACTAAATTTGTAATTTTTTTTTCCAAAATATTACTAGTTTTAATAATTATTTCATCAAGTAGTACTGTAATGTTTGAGTGTTTTACGTTTCTAATAAATTTGGAATATCTTTTTTTTTTTTTTACAGCATATCACTTTAACAATATTACTACACGTACCTATATAAATTGTAATAATATTTACTAGTATGTTGTATTACACGGGTGTTTGTTAAAAAATTATTTTTAAATTTTAAAATTAATGAGAGAAATTATTTTAAATTTTATTTACTTTTTTACAAAAAAATATATATTATTATATATTTTAGAATGACACTTGTTACTTGTGCGACTTACATGTATTATATTATTGTAATTTTTATAACTTATATAATATAACTACTTGAAATATAAACCTATTAATTGATAAATAATTTTAGTTTTCTAATTAATATTAAAAAATAATTTTATTATTGTTATAAAGATAAATATAATTTATTTTTTTATACGTACATTATGGATGTTAAATCGAAGTTCATCAAGAGATGATCAATTTGATATATTATATATGTCAAATTGATAAAAAATACAAGAGTTATTAACTTTTAAAATACATTTACAATTAAATGGTTACTAGTAATCAATTTGTGCATTTGCACAGTGACGAATACTTTAAAAATATAAAAATATAAAAAAAAAAAAATAAATCATAATTTAATTCATGAAAAAAATATGAATTAAGAAAATAATTCTCAAAATTGATTTTGATCAAGTAATTGCTATGGAAGAGCCGTTACAACCATTTTTTTTATGCTAATAACCCGACCATTTTCATGACTGAGTGTGACTTAAAATTTGAGTACAATTTTGTAACTCTCTTGATTAATTTATGCTCATAATTTATGGCATTCAAGCAAGTTATTTTGTAGCTTAAAAATGAAATTGAATGCTGAAAATGTTAGAGAGAGATTAAAATTTAATGCATGAGAACAAAATTTAATGCATGGTAATAAAACTAAATGTTTTGTTTCTCCTCTTTATATATATATAGATAATAAGAAATGATATTAAAATGTAACTAATACATTTAACATGACAAAAAATAATCAACATATTTATGGATAATCCGAACCTAATTATTTTTGGATTGGAAATAAATTAAAATCTAACAAAACAAGTAACTTTGACACATAGAATCCCGAAGTATGCGAGCCTACCACTTAGGATCAGCATGATAGAGGATAATAATATCATCTTACAATACTTTCTCTATCCAAAATTAATTTTTAAAATGCAAAACATATTAATAAAACTAATTATTTATTTTTTTTAATTGTTAAGGTTACCAAAATAAATATAATTTTTTTTTAAAAAAAAATAATGTATGTTAAAATTATTGAATATTATTTATTTTTTATAAATAATTTTTATCTAAATAATTTTATTTCTTATATCACATCGTTCCAACAAATTATAGTTCCTATTAATTTAGTTTTCTAAAAATAG